ATATCATATTTGTTGTTATAAATAACTGCTGCAATGTTGTAAAATTGTTATGACTTTATTCAATGTATCACATAATACGACAGGAAGATATTATTTGATTATTTATATTTTTATGATTATTGACATTGGTGAAATTGATAGAAGTATGTAGGTAATTTATTTTTACTGATTTTGCCACTATTTCTTGACTCGGAAATAAAAATAAGGCTGAGTTGCACCACCCAACTTTAACAGAAACTATACAGGGAGGAATTTTGAAATGCCACCTGGAGGGAAAGTACCCTTAATATTGTAGATACAAAATTTTACTCAAAGAAAACATTCCTTTATTTTTGAACAGAATTCGAACTGCATTCAAAGATTTCCAAAAAATTGCAAGCCACACCCGGGAATCGAACCAACTAAAATATGTTAAAAATTACACCCTGTATTTTTATGATATCGATCGTTAGGGTTAAGTATAAGGATGAAATCTCTCTAACAAACTTGATAAATCAAATGAAAGGAAAACCATGAATTCTTAAATTATTTTAATTATGTACAGAAAATTGTATGGTATGGAATGAATTTTCGAAAAATTTTCGATAATCTTTGAATGCAGTTCTCTTTCTTTTCAAAAATAAAGGAATGTTTTCTTTCAGTAAATTTTTCTATCTACAGTATTAGGAGTACTTTCCCTCCAGGTGGCATTACAAAATTCCACCCTGTATATAACGACGACAACCGGTGCTTTTTGTATGAAGTTTGACAGAATTTTGACGTTTCTTAAAGTTAAAGTAAGACGATGCAACCCAGCCTAACGCCCGTATTCACAAACGATGCTTGCTTAAGTGAAGCAGCAAATCGAACGCACAGCGTTGAATAGAGCTCTAAGATTGGTTCGTGTGTCACCCTGTGCGTCCACGAGCACTGTGAGACCTCATAGTAATGTTTGTGAATACAGGCGTAAGTCTTTTAAATTGATACAAAACATTTTTTTAGCTGCCATCTAAATAAAAACATATTAATTTCATAGGTTGAACTTTGAGTTTTTCGAAAATTACAAATCTATAACTTCGAGTAGGTAATTCTATCAATTTAATAAATACATCTTCTAGACTACAAAACAAAACCACATGTAATACGATACTGTATTCTGTTCATTTATTGCTTTACTATCTAGATTCTAGATACAATAAATAACGTAATCACGTCAGGATCATCTTCTCATTATGCAATAGAATTTTCCTCTCAAATTCTCGAAGGATCGACACAGCAGGTTGTTTATAACCAGTAGGTTTATACCTTTATCAACCTGCGCAATTGCCTTATTGCTATCAACTTGAGATATTCTGATGAATATAAAAACAGGGTTTAATAAATAAACAAAACAACATCTTTACGTTTTGGTTTATTTATTAAACCCTGTTTTTATTCAAAGCCAAAGTAAAAATTATTTGCATAGAATATTAAAAATAGTTTTTACAAATCGTCAAATATTAAAATTAAAAAAATAAAAGACTTGTAATAAATAGTTTAGAGTTTTGCTCTTATGAAGCCTTCACATGTCTCATTTTTTTTTATGCCCTACCAGCGCAGCGTCCAGCGATCTGCGATCAGCGATCTTCAATCGAGACCAACATTTGGCAAGTGCTGAGAAGAAGCGCCGCAACAAACTCAGTCACCACTGTCTGCCGCCCCGGTTGAATTATTCATGTACGCACATCAAACTAAGACTGTCCCATGTGGTTGTAAAAGGTGCAAATTAGCAAAAGTATAATATTGCCGAATGTGCTTTTTATAGTACAAATTAGCACCTCGCTTTTAGAAAAAAGGCAAAATGACTTAAAACTAACAGTATTTATTACCTACTCGTACATACAACACTGATTGTTTTGAAAACTATTTAAATATTTTAAATTACCTTTACTACCTTTATTTTTTGTATGGTAATAATAAGTACCTATTGAATGACATCAATATTCTACGCTTTAAAAATAAAAACATTATTCATGAATGTAAATACCGGTCACAAACCAAAACAAATCTGCAATGATCGATTAACCGAGTCGGAATAACCGGTTTGAATCAACACTCGATTACTAATCGAGCCAACACTCGTCACGATGTGAATCGAAACGCGCCGCACAAGGGTCAATCAATTGAGGAACGAACTATTGAATCAATGGAACATTATGAATAGGCTTGCTCGTTCATCTGATAGAGAGGGTTAGGCCCAGAACAGACGGTGAAACGCAACTGCAACGAAACTGCAACTTTCTGATGATTCTTATGAATGAAACTGAAACTGAAAGTTTCAAACTGGTCGCGTCATGTGTGGTCTCTCAACGGACGCTATGGCAGAAACTTAGATGCAACTCAAAAGTAACTAGCAGTTGCAGTTTCGTTGCAGTTGCGTTTCACCGTCTGTTCTGGGCCTTACTGTAACTGCACTTAAAGCATACGTAAATTCGTCTTTATTAGGTACTTTCAATAGGAATTTTGTAAAGGTTGGCGAATCGACAATAACCTGATTGATAGAGATGGGTAACCCTGCTCTACACTATGCAAATTATGCAATTGCAACTAAATTCACAGCCCGTTTGAAAAGGAAAGTTTTAAAAGCAGAATCAGTAAACAATTGATTGAATAATAAATAAGTAAAATACAATTTACATTATAATAACATAATTATTTTGATGTAACTAATTAAGAAGCGGGAGTATTCTTCACAAACAGCGAACTAAAACTTTTTCTTAAATTTTAAAAAACTCGAATCAGCTCGAATATGCAAAAGGAAGATAGAGATACCCATCGACTAATGAAAAATGCACCAATTCTGATTTATGCATTTCTATTAACAGCGTCTAGACATTTTAACGATTGCAAATCGAACTATAAATCAATCCCGACTAATATCGAAGAGTCCAGAACGTTTTACAAATTTTTCCACCTAATTAGCACTTTTTTAGGTTTTTCACTTGTCTAAATCACCACATAATATTCGAGAATTATCTTTTAATCAGTACGTCATTAAATAAATTAATGTCACCTTTGTAATAAGAGCTTTTTGTACGTCAAATGTATACACGAGCTATCGTGATTCCAGTTTCTTAGAAAATGAGAACAAACAGGTAAATGGGTTGACCTTACAGGTGAAATAAAACGTGTTGTTTTGATGATATTCCATACGATCATACTTAATACTTCGCAGAATGGAATTGTCTTCATATTCTGGATTTTCTTTATTACGCGTTTCTGAAGTTCGTTCTTTCAAATTTTAAATCAAACGGACCAAATGACGCGTAAAATACAAAATCTCAAAGTTTTCTTTCAACTTATTTTTGAAATTTATTGCTATAAATTGTCGTAATCTGTACAAATAGACTATTAAACAATTTATATTTAGTTGTATGTTATGTATCTTGTTCGATGATACTGAATAAATGTTTTTTCTTTCCTTCAAGTTAATTTAAGTTTTTACCTGAGGAGCAATGACTTTCTGTACGAAAGGAAAGCTAATTTTGACTACAAAGGCGTGAGAAATCTAGATCCTTAATCAGTTTAAGTCAATGGCCTGGGCATTGTCCCCATAAATATCAAAAGGTCCCTGAAAACGGAAAGGGATATTACATCAAAGCTATAGAGTTAGCCGAACAAATTTTCACGAAAATTGTAGAGATTTCGTACTCGTATCCGAATAAGTGCAATGTGCAAGTTATGTTAACTTATAACATTTTAGTTTTTTTTCTCCTTTTGTTTGAAAATTGCATTTTGAAAGACAATGTGACAGTCAACATGAATGCCAACTAATTTTCCAACATGATATTCGCTGTGCATAATAATAAATAACCAATTTTCCGTTATTATTCACATTTTTTTTATTTTGACAACACACGTTACGTACCTACGTTAGTTCAATCGTTTTAAAAAGAAGTAGTTACGAGTATCAATTTAATTTTGCTGACTTTTTACTTAATCTATGATGATTAAAAATGTTAAACAATTCTCTTCAGTCTCTACTATTGTATTTTACAAGTTGTTTAATAATAAAAATTTATAAACTAAGGTGAAGGATTTATCCTACAAAGACAATAATACGTTTATTTCGTTTCATTGCCCTCTCTCAAATATTACAAAATCAGTTTGATGCTAGTAGTAGCAACTTAGCCTAAACATTGCTTCAGAAAACATTTCCAATTACTAAGTTATCTCGCTGAAAATCATTAATTTAAAATCAGTAATGTCTGCTAGGCCCAAATATTATTATTTAACAAAGCTGTATAATTTCCATATTCCAAGCATATTCCAAGCACTTGCGAATAATTTAACGAACATCTTAAAATCATTATTCTGCCGAGGTTTGCTAATCCAAGTGGATAATATTCAACAAGCAAGGAAAGTTAGGTCTTATTTTATTGTTCAACATCATAACATCATTATGGCTCGACCAAACTTTTATCCGATAATAGGTACTCCTGGTATAACCACAGGTATAACTGGCACATTGGCAGTTTCAGTATTAGAAATATGTCACTGACGATTTATTCTGAGATTAATAATTACTCTTGTTTGGTCGAATCCACCCTAAATAGCATAAAGCTTCCTTGATAAAGTTTAAGATACAATTTTGTGATGTTTTCACAGGGTTATGTCTAGTTACGTACAAAGCGATAACGTAATTGAATCTGTCACAAATATTCCTACCCATGCCTACAGAATGATACCTATTACAGAAGCAGATGAAAGCCGATCATTGCTACTAGTATCTGTAAAGAACCGGACGAAACAAGATCTTATCAAAATAAATTGAACGCAATCAGCCAATGTTTACGGTGACCACAGACGAAAACTTAAACATCTGACGATTTTAAAAGTAAAGTTATTAGGCTATCATGATCTTAATTCAAATTCCTATCAAGTTCAAAGATCCTATCGTCCCAAACAAACAATGCTATCACGTCAATGGCTTAATCACCGTACTAGTAAATGAACATGCGTTTGTCGGTCAACAAATTATTGACCCTCTGCGCGCACGCTGGCCGAGCGCCGTATATAGTGGAGTGGGAGGCGTGCGCTCGTCAAAGTGAATTCAACATTCGCCGCGAATACACGTACTCGTACAACTTTCCCACAAAATGTATACCAACCCATTCGAGAGAAAGCACTCCTCGCTCCGGCAGGCCCTTGACCGCTTCATCGGCGAAACCCGGCTCAGCTTCAAAAAGAAAATCAACATGGCCAAGTCGAAGAGTTCGTCCAGTGCGTCCTCGGTTTCATCATCATCATCGTTCTCGTCGTTGCAATTCAAACCGAATTCTAACGGGAAGAGGTGAAGGACTGTGTGATGTGTGTGGTTACCAGTGATCTCGAAACGAGCGCCACTTCGAAAACAGGTTCGTTTTCCTTTTGTTTTTATATTAATATCTTAAGCGCGATTTATCAAGAGCATCTAATTAATATTAACATGACCTTTCACGAGTAATTAATGTATAGCGTGAAAGTTTTTATCTGACGTTAATTAATCCTAATTCACTATTAATTGTTCCGAACATAATCGCTTGCGAGCTCCTTCTAATACGGGATCAGGATCTTCTGGGAAATTAATTGTAATTCCTATTTATTGCCTTTTCTACTTACTCTTCAACCTCCTAATTTGTATTAATACGGAGAATAAATAATCTGATATTTCACACTTACCATTATTACATACGAATTTGTTAAGTAGGTACATAGTCTTGAAAATGAGAAAACTTTTGTCATCATTTCAAATTAAATATTCAAGAGTCCGGCTAAAATCTTCGAGCTTGTCATATCTTTAGATTTCTCAACTGCATGGGCGGCCTTGTCGGCCCGACAATATCACATTAGATTTAAGAAACTCACATTTTGCAACGCCAAGTTTAAACTGTGAAATATTATCAGGAACACCGCTATATCGCAACGTAAGCGATTATATTATCAATATCGGATGTGCAATGCAAGATGTTTTGATAGAAAAGTTAATTCAACACTTTAGTCATGTTCTGTAACTTGTTGACGATAAATAAGCATTTGCATTTCAAAACCTTGATAATGTAAAAACAGAAAGTAACTTTAAACTTTGACTTAAGTAATTTGGTAATCCAAAATATCAAACATAGGTACTATGATTAATATATTCTTTGACTGACAAAGAGACTTAGAAAGTAGATAAAGCAATGTGGACATGACAAAACTTTATTTAAACTTCAACAATTATAATGTTAAACTTATTAAATCAGTTTTGTAACTGTTTCAAAACTACTTTAATCATAATAATTATTACCATCGTAAATTAAACTATTTACCAATATCAACATTAAATCCATTGCTTTATAATGGTATGCAATAAGCCGGATGCTAACACCTTTTCAACAATGTTTTCTAATTTAATCATTAGTGTCTTGACAGTTTGACGATGTAGAATAAAATATGTAGATAAGATTCGACAAAATTGTACAATAGTTTTTTTTTTGCAAGGTAGCACCTATTAATTGCCACATATTTTAGCTTCATGTGCCAAAGCCACGTGACTTGGGCAAGTAGTGAAGCAGTTATTCTTGAGTTGATATCAAATGTAATAACTCTATTTACTTACGTCCGTATTCAAAAACATTACTATGAGGTCTCACAGTGCGCATGAACGCACAGGGTGACATATGAACCAATCAAAGAGCTCTATTCAACGCGTTCGATTTGCTGCTTCACATAAGCAAGCATCGTTTGTGAAGACGGGCGTTAGACTGAGTTCTAAGCTAAACCTAAAATTCCATTCTAAGCTTTATCTACTAAGATGTTCTAAAGTTTGCTTAACTATAACTTAGCCTAAGTATTGTAGAGAGTGGTCAGGCACACACGTGGTAGAAACTAAGAAAGTTCTTTATGTAACCATTGCGGAAATAGAATCGACGACCTTCCCCACTCAGGCGTCTTCAACCTTGTGCAGTTTAATATCGGTAACTAAAAATATTCTACTAATTATGTGTCTCCGTTGTCCTCAGGCTGAGTGGTGCGACCGGTCGATTGACGTCATGGCTGCGCCGACGACACAGAAAATGGACACCTACATCCAGTCAATTTGGAAGAATCATTAAATAAACGTATCATTAATTGCATATTTAATTTGTTTCATTTCTACACACAATGTGATGACACTAATGACCAAATGTTTACCGATAAACGTAGCTAATTGAAGGAAAAATATCGATTAACTCGATTGTAATTAAGTATTCTAGGATGTTGTGCTGACCTCAAACGTGTAGGTGGCTACATTAATAATATTTCCTTTAAATCGTATAGACACAATTAAGAGCAATAAAAAGCAGGTTTTACACGCGGCGGAATAGTCCTTGTAACTACGGATGCTGATATACAGCTACATACTGACATATAATAAGTAATTCTTCAACAAAAAAATTCATTTCTTGTATGCAATAAAATAAAGCTCTACAAAAGTCGAAAAAACACTTTAGAACTGTGCTACGTTAAATGTCTGTAGCCATTTCATCATGAAAAGAGCTTTCTCTTATATTTAAGCGTAACAAACTCTACACGAACAACCATGTTTAGAAATTTCTCTATACTCGTAGTACACGCTACATCATGTCATGTCTGGGCAGTTTAATTTGAGATCACCATTATTACCTAAGATGTAAGTTTGCATTATGTACCTACTATTCCAAGAAATCACTTCTGGTGTATTGGTTTCCGAATCAATAAAAAACGGAAGGTCAATACATACTTATACGCTTTATCAATAAAAAAAAGTCAAGAAAAAGCTGTCAAATAAAGCACTTCGTACATTAGGCAATCAACACTATGATAGTTAATGAATTTATGTAACATTAGGCAAATCACAGACATAAGAAAGCTCTTATCTTATCACTAAGGAAAGTCCGATAAAATTACGAGCTAAAAATTAAAACTACTCGTAGTACCTGCTACATAGACTTCGTGTGACGCAGCGATATTTCAATGAATAAGTTTAAAAGTAAAGGGTGTGGCAGTTGTTGAAATATTTATACAATTTGCATATTACTCCTTTAATCTTAGCATTTATAACCTTGACCTTAACTTCGCGTTAACGCGTATTACATTTACAGAACATGTAGTATATTATTTATTACGATAGAGCTATCAATCGCCAGTCTCTACGAATGTACGTCACATTGGAGCGATCATTGACACATCTACTACCATTCAGAGTTTTGAAATCAACCCAGTAAAGAAGATAAATTGAAAAGTTTCTGCGTAAAAAGTATGCTGATTGGTAAGTAATTACATCACCAATAGTTGAAAATAAATAAGTTAAGTATTACTATGACAACGCACTAAATACGCTCTAAATATCTAGGTACAGAGTTAAGGTTCGGACAAACCAACGCGTGCAGCGATGGCGATGGCGACCACTGCGCGTGCAAAAGTTGTTTCACACTGCCGCGACCTCGATGGCGATCACTGCGCGTGCAGGTTGTCACTGTCACCACAACTGTCACACATATTGTCAATCACGCCTATTCGGCAAAATGGAAACTGAATTATTAANAATACATAAAAATAAATTCTGATATTGATACTTTATTCTAAAACCTTTTTTATTATTCAAGTAGGTCAGACTAGTGGTATGTTATGAATAATTCATTTTTAATCGTGTAAAAACTTTTTAACAGATCCTACTTACTATTTATTACATCGATTTTAAAAAACAGAAACGTCATAGTGACAAATGTCGCGATGATCGCTGATCGCTGCGTGCAGACGCTGCATAGATCGCCGCGACCAATGACAGGACGCGTTGATGTGAACACATCGCTACAAATTCATACGCGCTGTCTGGTCGCCATCGCCATCGTCATCGTGCACGCCGGCTGCACGCGTTGGTCTGGTCTAACCTTTACCATACTGTATGATGAACATAGTACGTACTTCAATACTTGCAGTGTTTTGCCGTCAGTAATATTAATTACCGTTATTATAATACATAGGTGTTATTACTAAGAAAGAAGTAACGTAATGAACTGCTTTGACGTCACTTTGGAAAACACGCGTCTAACAATCAACTTATTCTATACCTAACCTCGTGTTTTAACAAGCTTATTGCAATATTACTTAATTAATTAAATAGAACCTAAATTTCCTCTGCAAATCATAATAATGGCTGAGATGATGATGAGATGCCTGAATCCTGTAAATCTAAATTTTGCAATGCATCAAACTAAGTTCGACATAGGCGAGGAAATCAATAACTTAACCGCCTCTGTGGTCTAGTGGTAAGACCACCTGCTTCAGACGCAGAGGTCCCGGGTTCGATTCCCAGTGGGGGCAGATTTTTCTGTTCGGTTTGGTTGGTGGTAGGGCTTGTTCTAAGTCCGCCTGGCTAGCTACCACCATCTTACCTAAGTCTGTCGCCATAACAACAATGTTCACAGCATTATTGTGTTCCGGCAGTTAGAGGTAAGATAGCCAGTTCCTCCGTGGTTGAGGATTCCGGGTGAAGCTCGCTTCCACCTTCGGCCTGATCGTCACTTACCATCAGGTGAGATACAGGCCAAGAGCTTCCTCGTTGTGGATAAAAAAAAAAAAAAACTAATTTAAATACTAAAGAAAATACTACAATCTTCCAAAACATTCTGTACATACTCGTACCAACTGGCTGTTAAAGGTAAGTAATAATCAAAATTATAAGGATATCCATATTGCAAACGTACTTTAGTAAGTTGTTACTACATCAACTGCAACTGATGAAAGAGGGTCAAACTATGCAGTTTGCATTAAATCATTTTCAGATGCGTAACTTCCGCATTCGAAATACTATTATAGCCAGGATTGTGCCTTTCTCTCATTAAAAGAATACAGTCATCTATACAAATAATTATTATTGTGATATCAAAATCGATAAATCAGATTTCTCTGACATTATTGTCTGGTTAGGATTTTTGTATTGAAAACATTTTAACATAATTGTATTGTAGAATTTTGTAGCGCTACTTTTTCGCATAATCAAATTCGAAAAGAAAGTTGCTGGTTTTGATACCTACACCAACTTAATAAAAGAGATGGTTAAATAAAATTTTGAATTCCCAAGACCCCGTATTTTTGAATCGTTTGAGTTTCTATTAGTTTAAGAATTTGCACAAAAATCATGTTACATAATATTAGATTTAGGGTGGATTCGACCAAATAAGAGTAAATCTCAGAATAAATCGCCAGTTATTTGACGTTTTGATATATTTCCCTAAGGGTTCTGCCAAACCAACGCGATCACAGCGCGATCAGCTGGCGTGCAGCGATGGCGACCAGACCTAAATTCATTGTTCGCCATCGCTGCACGCCGGTTGATCGCGTTGGTTTGGCCGAATCTTTACAGAAACTGTCAATGTGCCAGCTATACCAGGAGTTATCTATACTTATAATAAATCTGTAGAGAGGTCAATTCTGTACATGAAATATATTTTCAAAATAACTATCAGGGGGTGATTAGTGATCGATACTGATGCCAAAAATGCAATCAGTAAAATTTTTGTCTGTCTGTCTGTCTGTCTGTCTGTCTGTATGTTCCTTATAGAAACAAAAACTACTCGACGGATTTTAACGAAACTTGGTACAATTATTCTTCATACTCCTGGGCAGGTTATAGGATACTTAGGAATTCCCACGGGACCGGGAATTAGCGGGAAAATATGTTTGTATGAAAAATCTAAACTGCTTAAGTTAGACGCTTGAAATTTGGCATGCAGGTACCTTAGTAAACTTAAAGCTTAGTTACAACAGGATATTGCAAAATTCCCACGGGAACGGGAGTTAGCGGGAAAAAACATTTGTATGAAAAAATCTTAACCGTGTAAGATAGATGAAGGGGGTAAAACGGGATCCACGCGTACGAAGTCGCGGGCGGCCGCTAGTTCTCGAATAAAAGTTTGGTTGAATCGGGCCCAAGTGTATAATTTGGAATTAAAATACAAACTTAATTCAAAGATACATCTCCAAGATTTACAATGATGTCGGTACTCTGTTCAATCGTAATTTTTCCTATCATTATGTTTAATTGAAGAACGTCAATGTAAGTGCAACAACAATAATGGATTGTTATAAATGTTGACACAATTATATGCAACAACTCATCATCCCAACTAATATTATAAATGCGAAAGTAACTCTGTCTGTCTGTCTGTCTGTCTGTCTGTCTGTCTGTCTGTCTGTCTGTCTGTCTGTCTGTCTACGCTTTCCCGCTTAAACCTCGCAACCGATTTTGATGAAATTTGGCATAGAGATAGTTTGAGTCCCGGGAAAGAACATAGGATAGTTTTTATCCCGGTTTTTGAAACAGGGACGCGCGCGATAAAGTTTTTCTGTGACAGACAAAATTCCACGCGGGCGAAGCCGCGGGCGGAAAGCTAGTCATTAATAAAATTGGTCTGGTAGAGCTGTTTTAAAATAGTTATAACCTAAGCACATTTATGATTATAAACTGTAGATTAAACTGCTATACTTAGTGGAATATTCGTGTATTATAAAATAGTAATATAATAATAACTCCTTATCAATAATGGAATATGTAATAGGAAATACCCCTTTGTTCCTATGGGAAACCACACCCATAGAAATACCCGAAACAGGACAAAACAATCCACATGCACGTGCCTTGGATTTACTCGTAGTTTCAATTGTCTTAACTTGTAGCTGTTAGTTACTAGTTTTAACTAGTTTCATACGTAACTTAATTGTTTTAACAGTAAAAGTTTACCTTTAACTTAACCTTTTGTTACACTGATGCAAATATTCACATAGATAATACTTTGAGTTTGCCGTAAAAAACTAATATAACTTGGATATTGTAGTGACAATATTAGGTACCTACAAGCACTTGACTCAAATATGACTTTGAGACTCGCTTTGTTTTTGTTTTGTTTATGTCTTATTTACTTTCTTGTGCTACGTCAAAATATTAAATAAAATAATGTAAAATAATATTTATCTCATTGCAAGTGAACTATGTATAATGTTCCTAGGAGAACAAAGTCTTTAAGCTTTAGCTACGTCAAAATATTAAATAAAATAATGTAAAATAATATTTATCTCATTGCAAGTGAACTATGTATAATGTTCCTAGGAGAACAA